CATCATCGATAGTCCCAACTTTTGTATCTCTTTTCTTAATCCTCTTTTTCGCAGCTTTTTGAAACGGTGCGAATTCTACTATAGCATGATATTCCTGACCTTTATTGTCAAGGAATACATAGCCATCAAATCGGTCCCTGAATAAAAGGATGTCTTCTTGGTTTTTAAAGTTGATATATGCTCTGGCAAACATATGAGGATACAGACTAGTATCATTAGCAAAAAACTCAAAATAATCATGCTCAGGCATAGGTTGAAGATGTTCCTGAAGCTGCTCCTTGGTCAAAGTGGGAGGCAATCTTCGAATTACCACCTTGCTCAAAGCGTCTTTCCTGTCTCTGTTGTGATCGTGCCTATCTTCCCCTCTGGCGCCTTCGGCAGTAGCTCCCACGCTGCCGCCTGTGGCACCCTGAGGCGTTAACAGGGTCACTCGCTTCTCCTTAGGCCTGTGATCTTTCTCTTCCTTCATGGCCACGGTTCACGCTCCTCAGAGCCGTGGCTCAGCTGCAATCCCCTCGTACATTTTTTGGTCATTTATATACTTATAATATCATCAGCAAATAGCAAATGTTTGTCTTCTTCCTTTCCAATTTGTCTCCCCTTGGTCTTCATTTCCTGTATTATTCTGTGGCTAGAACTTCAAAAACTATATTGAATTCATATGAAGAAAGAGTACAACTTTGTCTTTTTCCCGACTTTAGTGGAATTGCTTTTAGTTTCTCTCCATTTAGTTTGATGTTGGCTGTTGGTTTGCTGTATATTGCCTTTATTATTTTAGGGATGTTCCTTCTTTCTCTGATCTCTCCATGACCTTTAACATTAAGGGGTTTTGGATTCAGGGAACGTCCTTTTCAAGCCACCACACTTGATTAGATTTTCTGATTTATTTTCTTGAGGCAATTGTGAATAGACCAATTTCTCTGATACGTTTCTCAGTCTTTTATCATTAGTATATGGGGAACTTATTTTAATTTTCTATCCTGTAACTTAGATAAAAGTCTTTTATAACATTTTCTGGTAAACCCTTTCAGTTCTCTTATTGATGGAATTGTTACAACTGAAAATATGGTACTTTGACTTCTGTTCTTATCTGTATATTTTGTTCATTCCTTTGTGTTTTACTTCTAGCTTAGCTTCTGGTACTACATTGAAAATAGAGTGGATAAAGTATACATCCCTGACTTACTGAACTTTTTATGCATTGGAATTTTCTCCTGCTTAATGAAATAGTAACTATAGTTTTCTAACATATGGCAAATATTATGGTGAAATTTGTTCCATCTATTACAAATTCTTTAGGACATTATTCATGATGTCATGATTATCTTTTTATATGATATTCTACAGATGTCTTTTAAGGATATTTTACCTGTAATGTCATTTAATACTTTTAAATTTCAGTAGGGATTACGGGTTAAGGATGATGGCAAGAGTACTATAATACCTAGTGCTAACCTATGGTTTTAAAATAAGTAATATTTGCTATGTAAAACTTGGGCACCTGTGTGTGAAATTGTATTGTTCTCCCATATATTGTTGCCCTAATCAGTACGAAGTAATTCTCACAGGATTTGTTTTCAAGTCTATTTTGTCTGATAAGGTCAACAACACTTTCTTGTTTTCTAGCTTCATTTGCCCTGAGCATTTTCCCTCATTTTGTTGTAAGGTTCTATTTTTTATGACTAAGCACACCAAATGTATACCTCCTACCATTGAATTTCAGTCTCCTAGCCCGTGATTTTAATTAAGAATTTCTCACCATTAAGATTCAGCTACCACTGAAAATGTCTATTGATTCTTATCATTTTGATGATTTTTTGGCAAGAAGCTTGAACCCAAGTCCCTGGGCTCCTTTCACTTCCCCTCATCTACCCTTAGCTTACCACAATCCATTTCTCCTCACAGGTCAGGGCTACTATGAGGAGTCAACATTGTCTGGCACAATATGTTGGGGCACGGCCATGGACCTCTTCCCTGCATTATAACTGAGCATGACATCTTACCATAGGGAATTGGCTAAAAAAAAAAAATCAAGTACTAGCATTATATCATGCTCTTACTGTTTACTGGTTTTGTTGAATATGCTTTCTGTGCCTTTAAGCTTATATTCTTCTCCTCCTTCTCTCCCTATTATTCTTAGGTTTGGTCTTTGTGTTTCTCTCCTGCCAGTTTCAATGTACTTACTTTTAATTATCATATTATCTGGAGCATTTGTTTTCTTGTCTTGTCCATGAGACGTCCCAATTTCCTCCTGTATCTGAAATAGCATCTGACCCAGCAAACCCACTTATATTAAAAAAGGATTATTTTGTTTACAACAAAGTGTTTCAATGTGTTTTGATGAGAAATCTTGGCAGAAAGTCATAGCAAATGTTCACAGTAAAGAGCAGAAAGACAATTATATCTACCTTTTCTTTCTTTCCACCAATGTGTTTCTCTTTCTTTATATTTTCATGGACTCCCCAAAATAGTGAATGTTACTGCCCAATATGTGAATCATTATTGGTTAACAATCCAGACAATCTTTCAATGACAAGCCCACAGGTAATATGATCAAATGATTCCTCATTAAAACTGTCTTCCAAGGTGATTATAGATTGGGTCAAGTTAACATTAGAAACTATGCAACACAAAATCTGCTTTCCTACCTGTGGAAAATTATTTTAAGATATTTTCTTTGCCTATGAACTTGAGATTTGGTGTTTTCATAGAGTCCCAGATAACTTGGAATTCCAACTTATATTTTCTTTGTTTAAATGGATTGTCCCATGTCTTTCATCTAGCAGTAATACTGTGAGAGTTTTCTTTTTATATTTATTATATGCCCAATTTATTATGATCTTGTGTGCATGTGTACATAAGTGTCTCTGTAGGTATACACATCTCACAGAACTTTTATTAGAACCCAAGGAAAATTTGTGGAATCAATTGTCCACTTCTAATTTGTGTGGGTTACAATAGAGATAGATAGATAGATAGATAGATAGATAGATAGATAGATAGATAGATAGATATAGATATAAGCATTTTTACCCATCATAATCCCATCATCACTTTGTGTATCTCAATTTAATTTGCAATTTACTGCATAAATTATTTTGTACTAGTTTCTATTTTTTATTGTGCAATATAACTTACTCTTTAAACTTTTGTCTTTAGGAGCTTGAGAGATGACTCAGTGGTCCAAAACACATGATGCTTCTTAAAACAGGTCTCTTTGTTTCCTAGTACCCACACATAGTGGCTCACACATTTCAGAGGAACAGACATTATTTTCTCATCTCTGCAGGCACATACAAACACAGATTCATACTCACATGAAACACACAAATATACAAAAATAAGAGAAAGTAAATCTTTAAAAATGATTTCATTAGCCATAAGTTTTTACACCTTGCATATTTTCTGAATATCCATGTATAAAATCTCTCATTGTCTCTCTCCCTTCTTTTCCCATCTCTTTTTCTTTCACTCTCTGTCTCTGTCTCTCTCTATCTATCTCTCTCAACTAGATGACTTATTCCCCTCACTCTATTCATTGCTTGATTTTATTATTAATGGTGTCATAAAACGGTAATGCGTACGTTTATTTGATTTCCCTAAAAATGTTGCTCTGTTGATGGGAAATATTCTTTCCAACACCACATATGATGCATTCTTTTCATCTCTGTCATTGAGTCTTTCTGTCCTTCTTGCACACTTCACCAGGAGGCAGATATTTACTTGTCTGCATAGTGAACATACTGCTCACTGACAGATCATGTGAGTGGGTTTTTTTGGTTTTGTTTTTGTTTTTGATAATTCCAGTAGGTTTCTTCACTTGACACAAATGAATTAAAGTGAAATGTAATAGTAACTATCCAGGGAGAATATGATGTTGCAGGCCTGCAAGCACAGCAATAATGCAGAGGGGACAGGTAGATCAATAATTCAAGGCCATCCTACTCTACATAACAAGACTTGCTGGCAAAACTTTTGCGATCCCTGTCCCCAAACAAATAAGTATCTTTGAAAAGCCTTCCAACATAGAACCACAGTTAATTATTATCTACGTATGTGTTATTGACTTATTTTTAGTGTCATTGCTAATGTTCTCTTGGGTTGTAGTTGTTATTGTTTTACAACAGCATCTGTTATATTTCAGGTTGACCAGAAATTCATTTGTACTTGAAAATGACATTAAACCTCAGGTCTTTTCTTGTCTCTATTCCCTGAGTATTGTCATTACAGCAGCATGCCACCACATTTGGCTTAGCTTGAAGTTTTTTCTTCATGTGTCTAGTTATGTGTGTTTTTGATGACTGGATGCAAATGTGTAAAGATTTGTGTTCTTCCTAAAGTTGCACAATAATATCAGGTGTTGAGCCTTAATTTCTACTGTGTTTGAGACAGTTGCTTTCTTCTTGTTCATCCCTGTGTGAACCAGATTAGCTGGTTCTTAGCTTCTGGGCATTCTCCTGTCTCCACATCCCATATCACAGAAGAAACATCAGGGAAACAGATGGAGGATGCTTCACCATTTTCTAATGATTCCTGAGGATTCAAACTCAGGTCCTCACACATGCAAGGGAAATGCTCTCCACTGAGCCATTACCTGAGCCAAGCTTTCAGTCTTTTAATTTTGTCATGTTCTGATCAATTCTCTTCCTCTCTATAATCATTTACCCCAGATTCCAGTCAAATTTTAGATTCCTTGAATCATGTATCCTACTTCTCTCTCCATGGCTCATATCTCATCATCTCTGTTTGCTTAATTCAGTTGGTTTTTCATATAATGGGGAACAAAGCAAGTGTTCAATGGAGGCTGAGACTTGGAGAGAAATACCACCATTCCAGGAAGAGGGGAGATACTGTAACTGTTAAAATCACATCACAGTAGCACTAGGAACATAAATATAACTTTGGAGTGAATGTGAAAGGCAATTCCCAGTAAGTATTCCATTTTCTGTGCTTTCAAAGCTTGGGTCTTCAAAAGTGACTATTGAGAAATAGTGGAACCTAACATCTGAATACCAGTGGGAGGGGATCTCCCTCAAAAAGTGTTAAGATAATTCTCCAGACAGGATGGTAATAAAAAGTTCAAACATGCCCATGCCCACACCCTTCTGTTTGTCTTTATTGTTTTTGTCACTATTCACAAACTCCTGCCTCTGTCACTGCAACCTGCCAGAAGGATGTCTTCTCATGGCATCAGAGGTAATAATATAAGGAGAAAGGTTTGCTAGTGAACTTGGTTTATCAGCTCAGCATCTGTGTGTGTGTCAAATGTCACTGACATGACAACAGTCATTCAACAGCTCAGGGATTTGGGAAAACCACTGAGTCAGTGAAATAATCACTCAACTTGAATTTTCTTTCTGAGGGATAAAACCTAATTCCCTGAGGTCAGTGAGGGAGCTCAAATTCACTCTCTGGGACTATAATAAATAAAACAAGTCTTATACATATATTTGGTGTCTCTAAATAACCTTCTATCTCTGCTGTTCTTCTTTATCTTTTACCCCATCA